TCATCAGGCGAGGGTGCAGCGACAGTACCGCCGCTATCTGGACCCGCAGTCGAGCCGGGCCCGGTACAGGCCCGGGTCCATGTTCGGGTCACGTCAGGTTAGACCGGGTCAGGTCAGGTCACACCGGGTCACGTCCCGTCAGACTGGTCAGGTCGGGTCAGGTCAGACCTGGTCAGGCCGGGTCAGATCTGGTCAGGCCAGGTCAAACCGGGTAAGGTCAGGTCAGGCTGGGTCGGGCTAAGCCAAGCCAGGTCAAGTCGAGCCGGACCAAGCCAAGCCTGGCCGGGCCGGCGGCGCGGGCGCCTCCGCCTACCATGACGTAAGCCTGCACGCGGCCGGCATGGTCGGACGGCAGCCAGGGACTGTCTGTGGCAACCGCCGCTTCACCGAACCCGCAAGAACAGCTACTACTGACGCCCCGCTGTAGTGCTATTCAGCACAACCTGCCTCCTGCTGTCAAGCTTACAAGACGCACTCATCGGCTCGCGGTGAAAACCTTATGGTACGGCCAGTTCCAATCAACAAGTGGCCGGAACTGGCCACTCACATATGTATTGGGAAGGCCGGAGTGCTCCAGCGGTCCGAGGATGAGCCAAGCCATCGTTCTGGGGAAGAAACTGCCATCCAACGCCAGCGTTCAAGTGAACATGCGAGGCATACCCATGGGACTTGCCGGCTCAGATCCGACCCCTGGACTCAACGCAAGGCTCCCTAGAAGGCGAGTTATTCCACCAACCTTGGCTGGAAGCACGACCCCGCCCGCGTGGACACGTGCGGCCCCCAGCTTAACCCCGTGTACGCTGCACAGCACACCGGCGCGGGCTGCGGTCGGTACCTGATCACGGCTTGTCGATACTCGACACGAGCGCCGATGGCCGCTCCTCGCCCGACGCGGGGCGACCAGACCCGGCGCCCGCGACCGCAGCCAGCGGGCGGCGGTCATCCACCGCCGCCGCCGCCCGCCGCCGGGGCTGACTAGGCTGATGCTGACTCGGAGCGTGCAGTCGCGTGCGTGGCCGAGCTCTTCATGCGTGGCGCGCCGCCGGCGGGCTCGGTGACGCACGTCCCCGCTGACTCACACGCGCAGGGGCTTCAACGATCAATGACAGACCGGGAGGCCCGGTGCGAGGCGGGGGTGGCCATGACAGACCGAGGGGAGGCGCCGGTGCGAGGGGGCTGACCATGGGCAGACCGGGGGAGGCGCCGGTGCGAGGTGGGGATGACCATGGGCAGACCGGGGGGAGGCGCCGGTGCGAGGCGGGGGTGACCATGGGCAGACCGGGGGAGGCGCCGGTGCGAGGCGGGGTGACCATGGGCAGACCGGGGGGAGGCGCCGGTGCGAGGCGGGGATGACCATGGGCAGACCGGGGGGAGGCGCCGGTGCGAGGCGGGGGTGACCATGGGCAGACCGGGGGAGGCGCCGGTGCGAGGCGGGGATGACCATGGGCAGACCGGTGGGAGGCGCCGGTGCGAGGCGGGGATGACCATGGGCAGACCGGGGGGAGGCGCCGGTGCGAGGCGGGGATGACCATGGGCAGACCGGGGGAGGCGCCGGTGCGAGGCGGGGATGACCATGGGCAGACCGGGGGAGGCGCCGGTGCGAGGCGGGGATGACCATGGGCAGACCGGGGGGAGGCGCCGGTGCGAGGCAGGGATGACCATGGGCAGTGGAACGCCTGCAGTCCTGAAGGCTGATCCGTTCGGGGAGGCAGGAGCAGAGCGCCTATGCTGGTGATGGAAGCGGCTGCTGGGTATGGGTAGTTCGGCGCAGAGTATCAGGACGGGCGGTAGAGGCTGGATAACCGGAGATGAGAGCTGGATACCTGTACCAGCCGTCAGAGCTCCCATTAGATTTGAGAGGTCGGAACAGTCCATCTGCTGCAGTGAAGGGTGCTGGATGTGGGGAGCAGTAAACACGCACCAGTAACGGGGCGCTGGATGTTGCAGAGGTCGTAGCAGTGCGGCTGCACGAGACTCGACACCAGATACCACACACCTCTCATGTTCTCTCCCTTCGATTTTTAGCAATGGCATCCAAGGGCAGACGGTTTGGCATGATTGGAGCTTTGGATAAAGAGCTTAGCGCGCTGAACAAGACGGAATTTCAGTAACTGGTAATTGGCTTATGGCACAGCTGTTCTCCGCATATATCCCTAGATGCATGCGAACCACGCCGTTCATATTGGAAACGGTCCGGCTTCAGCCCATGAATCACCGTATATGATCCTCTCACATTCCCGAGAATGCAGCGAATGCAACGGTACAAAGTACAACTTTGAGCCGTCCACAACGGGCACTGGCTGTAACATGAAGACCGGAGGACATCAAGCAGACTAGCTAATCAATGGGTGCGTCCATGGGATAGTGGTGCAACATTGCAAATAAGGGTCGCATTTGGACTCTGCTTTTTGAGAGCCCTGTCGCCCCAGCTGGAAGTGAAACCAAAGTTTTTGCTATTTTTAACTAATGAATGTTTCATATATTTTTCGTGCCTAGTCAGCTCCTTTTACCCAGCTCGCAGCCGCGCCCATGTGCGGGACTGCGTCCTGTGTTAGATTGTCTCGCGTCAGGCGGGCCCAGCGCTGACGTGGCCGCCGCGCGGCACGTTCTCGGCGGGTCACAGCAGCGGCGTCAGGGGCCACAAAGGCACGTGGTCGCCATACGGCCGCAGAGACGGGCTATAACCCCTCCAGCCGGCGAGCCGACACCCGAGAGGCGGCAGCAGGCACCGAGAGGCCGGGCCGGGCCCGGCGCCCAGTCCGGCGGGTGCGGCCGCTCAAGGTCGTCCGCTAGCCGTCGTCTGCGCCCGGCAGGTGTATCCCCGCCGTCGAGCGGGCGCCCGGCCCACAGCGCGCTGCCGACGGCTGCCACACTGCCCATGGGACGCAGCGCGCGCCGGCTGCGCCCCCTCCCCACGCACGGCCGCGCCGGAAAGTGGGCCGAGAAAGGCGGACCGACCGCGGCCGCGCACCTGACGGGACAGCGCACCCGGCGCCGCCGCCGCCGCACCAGCCGGCGGTTTTTCGGGGAATTCGGTGGCCGCGGGGCTCGATTCGAAAGGCGGGACGCGGGGAAGGACGAAGACGGGCGAGATAAGAGTGGTCGAGGCCTGCCGTCCGGCCGGCCCCGGTCCCTCCCCCGGCACGCCAACAGAGGGCCGGTGCTCACAGCAGCCCTCAACAGCCCGGGACATCGGGTGGAAAGCGGCGCCCCACATTATCTCCACCCATACTATTCGGGTAACTCACGTACGGAAGTATGTTGACTCCTGATATGATGTGATATGTTCATTTACTGAAGATGTGACTTCTGAATGGCAAACTCTACATAGTTTGATTGAACTGCCTGGTTATCACAATTTGCGTATGCAGGTGTTCAGAAAAAGCAACGGGAGTTTCGGCAAACAAATCACCAACTTCCACATGGCATTCTGCTACGGGGCGCCGGTCGGGCCGGCACGGTCTTCAAGTGCCTACTGATGGATATTGGCAGGCTCGTTCCGGAGCACAGGTGGGCGCCATCCGATGGGCAGAGGTCAGCAGCGGGCAGCTGCGGGGAGCGGACCGTGACGGCAGCACTATCGGCCAGACGCCGATCGGCCGCCCCCGGTCACCGAGCGCCCGAATGGATATCACTGGCCGGTACAAGTCAGCTTTTCCAGGACACCGATTTCTAACCCGTTCTGGTAAATCAGTTCTCGGGGTCCAAGATGAACTCGGCTCATTCGTTTGTGGGCCGATGTTACGACCACGCGCCAGCAAGGGGCGCGCCAACAAAGAATAGATGCATTTAAAGCCGGCTTACTGTCATCTGCGAAATGGTCCAGTCGTATCACCGTTCTGGTCTCAGTTGAGTGAGTATTCGGGTCAAATGTCATCGCCGGTTGGGATTCTACGTTCGGAAATAAAGTTAACCTTGACACAAAAGGGTCTAAGACGCTGGACACACGATGACTTCCTGGAAACACTGCACCGAACCAGGCTCCGTTTGCCATCACCCGTGGATCCAGAACCAAATCCCCGTCTCCGTCAACTTAGGAATTCGGACACCGCAGGAAAACACCAGCCGCCGCCTGGACCACAGGGCAGTGACACAAACTCTTCCCCTCAGCCGTCTCCGCACAGCGCTGCGCCGTCCGGCCCAGCCCCAGACGGAGGGCGAGCGGATCGTGAGCGTAGGTCGGCAGTGCCGCCGCGCCAGCCACCAGAACGCCGTGTAGAGGCAGACGGCTCCAGAATCACGAGCGATCGCAAACGCCGTCTTCGCCGATTTTACCTCAGTTGACTACGGGCAGTGTCGTAGACTGGGCCTTTCGACAAGACACATATCAGCAAGATTGCTCGCGCCTAAGGAACGATGACGGGCCATACATGTATGAGCAAACTAGTTGAACACCCATCCCCGCCACAAGGCGGCGGGACAGCGGTCCTTTACATACCGAGCAGCCAGTCTCATGAACGAGCTGTCGGTCAAGGTCGGATCCGACAAGTTTTCAGGTTACTGCCAAGTTAATTTTGTAGCAAAAGGTTTGTCTTATACCGTTTGTGCATGCATGTGTTTGTAGGATTTTTATCCGGTATCACTTCCGTTGTTTTCGAATTGGTTTAAACTCCATGACAAATAATACGTACAAGCCACGTACCCATTTGGAGTGTCAGCTGATGTCGAAAAATAACAAAAATAACCTAGTCCACCTGAAGGTGCATACTCCTGCGGAGTCGGCCCTGAGCGTCCTCAGCGGTTTTCAGCGGTATTTAACATTCAATATGGATCGTTCAACCTTAGTCCGTGTCGCCTACGATCGGCCGGCAGCACTAATAGTCATAATTTCCACCATCGGCTAGCGCAGCGCAAGACACAAAATCAACCAATTGGCATATGGTTTGGGCATTCATAAAAAGCGCTCAATGTGGGCCGAGGCCTTTCACGGTAACCCTGCCCAGTTGGCGGAAAAGGTCCAAACGTAAAATGTACGTTTCTGAGCGTCAGGATGGACTTACTTTTTGAATATTCTCTCGTACTCCTTGATCTGTTTGCGGGAGAACTCGGGAAACTCGGTGTAGGGGTTGAACACCCGCAGAACCTTCTTGACCTCCTTGCCGGCGTGCAGGTCATCATTGATCTGACACCGTCGGTTGAGGACGGCACTGAGCTCGTTGTCCGCCGACATTGTCCCCTGCGAGAACATGCCCCCAGTGTCAGACAGTGATTTCGTCCATGTCCAAGAGACATATGAGAGACTATGATTTTCGTCCAAGAGAAAGAGAGAGATGCTCGGGAAGTAGGCGTAGACACTGGCGGACAAGACTGAGAAGAGTTGGTAAGGCGCCGGCACCACAACCAGCATTTTTGAATGGCCATGTGAATATCAAGCAAATTAATCGGCGTGACGGCATTCCAGCCCCTCCCCTCGTGACGGTGCCCCTGCGTGTGTAAAATGCATAATCCCTAGATGTGGGTTCCGACAGAACCAGCCAATTCAAATGCCTACATATGGAAACCACACGAACCCGTGCTCCTTCCAAGGCAAATGGTCCGGGGCCTTGGTCATCGCTGCTTTAACTGATAGCGCCCGCATGACGAATAATTTCATGTTGCCCAGGAAACACAAAAAAACATGACTGAATCAACCTTAGCAAGGCACAAACGTCGAGATAGGTACCAGATTACCTGCAAAAGTACTAGTCAGCTCAAAGCTGAATGATCAGAAAATGCAGCCAATGAATATCAGGCAGGATAAATTACCTTGGCAAAAAGGAAGTTTTACAAAGATGGGCGAACACACCAGGTCTTCACGTCACCAGCGATCGCGCACGCACCCTTGCCGCCACGACAAGACTGATGCACGTGAGGCGGGCGCTCGATTGTTTATTGGACGAAGTCTCGGCCGCGCCACTTCTGGCGCCACTTCTCTCTTCTGCTGCAGGGCAATCAGCTGATTGTAAGGCGTAACGTGCGCTGATGCGGAAAAATATGACGTGACTGGTTTCACATTTTGAGGTACCTCTAATATGAAAATATGTGTAAAATTCAAACGTTCTAAGCAACATTCCTCAAAGATAATTTCCTGAATAACATGTATAGCAGCAATGCAAATATCATCCAACGGTTAAGCATCGACTGCGAAACACCAACAGCGAAACAAGTATAGTAAGGCGCGGGGAAATACTGTAGGTCACGTGCAAATGGTGGTATTTCCGTGCAAATAGGCACATTAGGTAATTACAAATCTCTATTGGTTTAAAACAATTATTTGTTGGCGTTAAGATACCAATATTTTAGCTCCAAATTGTCCAAAACGCAATCTATATCAATTGATAGTGACATTCAGTAAAGTCATGTGATAAAACGTATGTTGGAGTAGATTGCGCAATTGTGCTCTTACTGGCGCACTACGTCGCGAAATTTTGTGTTGCGGTGAAGCGTACTAGTGCTGTCGCGAGCAGGATATTGTTGTCTGCAAGAGATTGAAAGTGGCTGTAAGTGTATTACGACTGCTGAAAACTTAACAATC